AATGCTAACTGAAATAAAAAATTGAGACTTACGTAATGTACGTGTTATTTATTTATGGAAAACAGAGATAATGTCGAACTGTATTTAATGTTACGTGTTTCGATAACAAGTTTTCATCTTTTCTTTTAGCAGTATCTATTAATGATTGAATCGTGATATCACACTTTATATCGGCACGAATGTTCTATGCAGGTGAGAAATTATCCTCTATATGTAACTGAAAGGAATACAAGGAAATATTGTTAGTCGATTAATTCTCGGTTGGAGCCAGCTGACGGCGGCTCCATTATTTGAGAATGATTCGATCTGATATCCATGAAGTTGATTGATCGATGGATCAAATTCGCCACTCGAATTTGCTCGCAAACGCGACTTCCGTCAGGAAATAAACGTCGTCATTTAACTTCCATTAAATTTGTTTACAAATTCTAATATCTCTCAGGAACATTTATAGAATAAAAGTTTTAAATCAAAATAATCTAAAGTGTATATGAATTTTTGTTTAAAAAATAATATCAGAATTTATTATCAACGCACGAAGACGCCAATCATGTTTATTTAATTACCCAGATACATTATACATTCATCTAAAGTATATATTATAGTTATAAAAATAATATTATATAAGATTTCATAATGTGATTTGTTTGGAAATTTATCTTTGATAGATGAAAACATTTTATTGCAGAAAGTCTTTTCAGTATCGAGCATCTGGAGCGCCTATTCCCGACAAGAATAAAATGATAGCAACGCTGAACTAAATGAGAAGCCAATCGTTGTAAGTGGCCGCCCATGTTTCTCCTTCTCCTTCTCTTTCTCTCTGTCTTTATGGATCTAAAAACTCTTCCACTCCATTACTCCGTAGACATAAAAATAGAAAATACGCGGTTAAACGGCGGAAAAAGGCCGTTCGATTAGCAATAAGAAATTCATGTCTCGCGCAAATCATCCTAACAACGGCTCATCCGCGATCGAACAATCGCGCCGCTTATTCTATCCAACTGGAGCAAATTCCAGAATCCGTGAACTAGAACCGCGCTCGCTCCAGCGAGACGTACGTAAGGTTGAATCGATTTGCCGGTGTAAAACCGGCTGGGCGTCGGCGGCTGCTGCCAGTAGAAAGAGACGGAAAGGGGGGAAAAAAAGAAAAAAGGAAACGTCGAAGGACAGTGGGAACGTGCGGGGAGGCGAGCGTTGCGCCGGCATGGCGGGGTACCGGAGGGAACGAAGAAGTCGAAGGTGGAAGCGGGACCGCGCGAAGACGGGAAAGAAAGATGGAACGTGGCCGAGGGAGAGATCGAGGAGGAGAGCGTGCGAGAGACGAAGACCGAGACTCGATCTCTCTGACTGCCTCTGGCTGGCGGCGGGGTGCACGGACCACACTCCCCTTTCCGCCCACCAAAGACCGATCTCCTTCGTCAGTGCCGGCGTGGCGCGGGTTTCCTACAGGTGCGTTTACAACTTACAACCTGCCTCACGCTTTTCTCGTCCGCCTACCTGACAGCGCGCGGGCCGAGGCGACAAACGCACTGACTTCGGTGTTGCGCTACCTTCGCAAGCGGAATCGACTACTCGATCTTCGGAGATCGATCACAGAGATGATTACAGTGGTGCAGTGAGAGTTCTGGAGTTTGCGGCAGCGCGTGCGATACGTGAACGTCGACTTTGGACGTATAAGAATTGGCTAGAGCGCCTGCGGAGGCAACGGTTCCTTTTACGATCGTCAAACTATCAGAATTATCGGAATTATCGGAATTATCGGACGCGTATCTACATCGTCCGCATCAGGCATGGCTGAGCATCGAATGCACCGACATGCACCGAGGTGAGGAAATTCCACGGTAGCGGCGGAGGAACCAAAGCGTGAAGGAAGGAAAGAGAAGAGAGAGGGTGCCAGGTTTCGCGTTTACGCACCTGCCCCTCATACCACGTCCCTACCTAAACCTCCTGCGTTCAACCTGCGCGGCATCGCCTCATAGGCACTGGGCACTGGTATAGATAGGATACCAGAGAACCCCCGCGCGTGCCCTCAGTCCGCCCTCTTGCCGCTCGCTCTCTCGGACTACCTGTCGGTCTCGCTCTGGCGACTGGCGAGCCGACCGGTACCCGCCTCTCTCGCACCAAGGGCGACTCTAGAGTGAGGCAGTCACGCCGCAGCATCCAGCAGCAGCGCTACTAGCGGCAGCCAAACGGAAAGACTCCCAGGCGAGTCGCCCTGGCGTATAGGTGTGCGCGCAGATGTGTGCGTCGTGTGCGTGAGGTGTGCATGAGCCTCACCTGCGTGGGTGTGCGAGCCGAGGAAGCCTACCTGGCGGCGTCCGACACGCAGTTACCCGCGCGCTTCTCCGTGTTCTCCCGCAGGAAAGAGCGCCGAGCGCGTATCCCGCCATCCCGCTCCGCGGTTGTCGTTCTCTCGATTCTCGAGCTGCTTCTAGGGTAACCGACCTTGGGAGAGAGGAGCGCGTCGCCGTCGCTGTTCCTTTCGCGGTACTCCGGGCGAGATTGGAGCAGGAACGGAAGTGCGACACGGAAAGGAAAGGAGTTGCGCCGCGCTGCCTACCGCAAGCTTGTGGTTGCCACCGCGTGTAGTGTATGTGTGTTTACGTGTACACGGGAGAAAGATAAGGAGTGATAGAGGCGCGCGAAGGCCTGCGAAAGTTCTCGTTGTGCCGTAGTGGATGTCGACGCAGGTACAACGGATGTTTGGATGTTTCCGCCGCTGATCACCGGACCGTCGGCTAATAAGGGATTTCGAGCGGAGAAGGAGGAGGAGGAGATGCGTTGGCGGTTCGCTGGAGGACTCTGAAAGGGAGACCTGGCAGGCTCCATCAACGTCCTCCAGGTGAGAAAGACTTTTTCTCCCAGGGCGAGCATGTTGAGGGAGTTTCCATCATGAGGGACTCGCAGGGCAATCGCGTGTGTCCGCCTCGTTGCGTCCCTACGGACATTCGCGATTCCAACATGGCTGCTGGGACTAGCCGACTAGCCGTGACCGCTGGGTCCGCGGAAGCCATGTTGGCAGGTGTGCTCGGCTCGAGAGATAACCAGTTCACGTTCGTAAAACGTACGGCGGCACCGATACTCCGAATGGTAGACTGGAATATGAGCACTTTACAATTGAATTATCATTTAAATCGCCGCGCGTCTGCCCGCCCTTCAAAGAGCCCATCTGTGAAACGAGACGTACGCGCGATTTCGCAAGTAAAGCGAGTACGCGAGATATCATTAATAAAAAGAAAAAAAACCTCTTTAAACGCTGTCCGTACCCATTTTCTGCACGATTGCGAAAGTTTGCGGTGAGTCGGTACACAGTGGTTCTCGCGATGTCCATTAGACATAAGATCCACGAATAAACTACCGATCACGATATTACACGACTCTCTACTTCTTAAGTAAACACGTTAAGAGTTAAGCGATGTGCCAAGGAATGTTTGGCGTATTATAAAATTGAAGAAATATCAATAGAAAATGATAGCGCCGTCATTTAACGACAACATATGAAAATAACTTCTAATAGTTTTTAAGTAAATATGTTCTTAAATTAAAACGCATTCTCTGATTTGCCAGTTCTATCTTTTATGCATCTACGTGTTAGTTTACTGTTTTTCACATACTGTAACTCGACATACATGAATATGTTAGTATATTATATGTACGTAAGAAAATTTATGAAGAATGTATAACAACCCATAATATCGTTAAAATAGATAATGCAGAATTTAAAAAAATTATTTTCCATATTGGTGGATGTACGTTCTTATATAACTTATTTTTTATTTCAATTTTTATCTTAACTTTAATACGGATTTATGGAGATCGCTAATATGTAAAAAAAACATGAAAAACAACGTTTTCATAAAACTTTTTATGGAATAAGCAATATATTTATCAGATTCCTTTAATTGTGTATTAATATTAATATTTATTATTTATGTGTAAACATCACAAAAATATTATTTATATTTATTATTTATATGTAAATCATTTTTCAACATTTTCTATAGCATTTTTTGTAAAAAGTATCAATTGACAATTTCAATAAATTAAAAAAAATAAAAAATTTTTTAGAAAAAATATATTAATTTTTTTAATTTACTTGATTATATAGCTATAAATGCTTGTAAGTTAATTTAATATTTTTAAAAATATAAAAATTTGGAAATATATAATCAAACGGATGTCTTAAGAGTCGTTTGTTCCGCGGAATGAAGAACTGATTATGTTGATCGAATTAGTTTCATTTTTATTCATCTATCAATGTGTAATTAATTCAATTTTTTTATCCTTTAGGTACAATCGCTATGCCAACCGACATCGTAGTTACGTCGGCCTCGGCCACAGTTTCTGAGGAGACGAGCAGAGGACCTGGTCGGGACCTGGGTCTTGGACAGTCTCCGAGATCAGGCCCCTCTTCCGCAGCCTCGTCGTCTTCTAGTTCTAGCGCGGCATCGACCTCGAGAGGATTCGATCCATCTGGCACTCTCGCCGCTTATCATCATCACCGTCACAGCTTGGTAACCAGTCTGGGTCATGCCCATCACCGAGAGTCGTCAGCCTTTGTGCCTGTGGTGCCTTCAAGATTACAACTCACTCCGTATCCAGGTGAAATGCATCCTCATTTACCCGGGCCACCGCCCTCTTCCTCATCGTCGGCGAATTCGGAACACGAAGTCGGTCCTGAATCTTCAGTGGCCAGAAAGAGCTCGTCGAGTTACGATATCATGGCGATGATGGCCGACAAAAGGAAAGAGTTAGCGCGAGGTCTTTTATTACCGCCGCATCCTCTCCTTGAACCTCCTGGATATCCAGTCTTTGCTGGTCCTTTTCCTGGTAGTTCCGCTTTGTATCCCCCGGGTGGTCCATTAGCCCATCAGCATCTGGATCGAAGGTTACTTAGAGCACCTGGCAGAGCATCCAGACCGAAGAAACAATTCATTTGTAAATTCTGTAATCGACAGTTCACGAAATCATATAATCTCCTTATTCATGAGAGAACTCATACCGACGAGAGGCCATACTCCTGCGACATTTGCGGTAAGGCCTTCAGGCGGCAAGATCATCTTAGGGATCATAGGTATGATACATAATTCTTTATTAAATTCACTAAATTAAATCAGTTCACTGAATTAAATTAGTTATAAAGTATCACGTAAAAAGAATGAAAAATTAACTTCTTTGAATTTTTTTATTGTATGTTTATATATTAATTTGTTTTACGATATTAAGTATCTGCAATAAAGTTAACGATATAAATATTAAATAAAGTCAACAGATAAATTTAAAATATGAAAAGTTTTATAGATTTCAAATTAGAATATAGATTTTTTTCTGTTAACTATTATCATTTCCTGATTTTTATCTTCTTCTCTTAGGTATATCCACAGTAAAGAAAAGCCTTTCAAGTGCGGTGAATGTGGTAAGGGCTTTTGTCAGAGCCGTACTCTGGCAGTTCACAAGATTCTGCATATGGAAGAATCTCCGCACAAATGTCCTGTTTGCGCGAGAAGTTTTAACCAGCGCAGCAATCTCAAGACGCATCTTCTAACGCACACGGATCACAAGCCTTATGAATGTACCTCGTGCGGCAAGGTATTTCGTAGGAACTGCGATCTCAGGAGACACGCATTGACACATGCCGTGGGCGATGTTCCTCCAGAGGCATTGGAAGAGGCGTTGAGGGACGACGACAGTCCCGAAGAAGATTGCCCCGAGCCTGGACCATCTTCCTCATCGACATCCACACCACCGTCCGTATCTTCTGCATCTTCTACTTCGTCCGGATATCCTTCCCAAGGTTCTTCAGTGCAGCCACCTGCGCCTACAGCATCGGCCTCAGCACCACCTCTTCCTCAGAGACCTCAACTTCAGATCAGAAGGGACCTACTACCCACTGTGAAGACATCGACGGTGACCAGTGGCGCATCTGTGGCTCATTCTGTCACCCAGAACCCACCGGCTGCACTCCCGCCACCACCCCCACTCATTTTGGCTTCTTACCGGCGAAGAATTGGCTCCCCGGGTCCTTCCAGAGTATTCCTAGAGCTTCAAGAGCGTGAGCGCGAGAGAGAACGAGAGATGGAGCAGAACAGAGAAAGAGAACGTAACAGGGAACGTGACAAGGAAATAGCTAGACCACCGAGAGCTCCAACACCGCAGCCACCACCACCACCTAGACCTGCACCAGCACGCCAGGGTTTCACTATTGCGGATATAATGGGTCGATAGAAAATTTGTCGCAGGTAGTTTTCCTGTGCTTGAATTTCTTTCTCATAGGCTTTATGGATTACACGAAGGAAAGGTACCGGTTTTCACAAAGAATAAAGTCTTTCTAAAGATTCCATGGATTCTACGAAATTTTTGAAACACGTAAAGATATGGCTAACTTTTCGAATTTTTTAGAAAATCTGCATACGATCTATTTTTCATGTGGATATGAGAGAGTTTAAATAAACAATGAGCAAACAAAGTCCTAAAAAAATATCTTCATAACTCTTTCAAAAAAGGCGTGCGCGATTCTAAAATAGTTATTAAAGACTTGGAAAAATTTAACCCTCTCACTCCAAATATTCATATATTATCTTTTTATACCTAATATAAAATAATACAAAGATACGAATTATAAAAATTATTAAACAAGATAATTTCAAAAGTACGTATCAAAAAGATATTTGTATTATTATATAACCTAGAATGCAGTATTAAGAAATAATTTTCTAGGAATGAGACGGTTAAACAAATATATACCAAAAATGTGCCTTAATAGTTTGTCGCTAAAGAGAGGTGCTCAGCTCGCTTCATGCTACAGTTGTAGAAGCTACAGTAGTTCTTCCCGCGACGCGCATCGCGATAAGGACGCAATAGCGAAGAAATAATAAGTCCAGAAGATATTAAGAAAACTGCGACTATATACGGCGAAGTATTCTTTTGTCCTGCAGTTGTTCGAGAGAGGGGATAATGCAAATTTTGCGGTCGGGGTAATAACCTGTGCCTGTGCCACCGTGGCAGGTGCAATACAGCTTTGTACCTGCTCGATCCGCGCGCGAAATACCTGCTCCCTGCTACTGCTACTACTGCTGCTGCTGCTTTTCCCTTCTAAAAATATTCCTAGACGAATATCAATATTTTTTTCTCTCCTCTTCCGGCCTCCTCCCTCGCCTTTCCGTGCCCTCGACGCGAGAAAGCGTTAATGGTCTTTTTGTGCGACCCAAACTGTACACCATCCGACCGCAGAGGCGATCCTTTCGAGCTATGCCTGTAACGCCTCCAACACAAAGGTATACCTTCTTTTCAGTGGATTTCAAAGAATCCATATATAAGAAACGATCCCTCGAATATACGTTCTAGAATAGCTTTCCGTTTTAAAGTGTCTATTGTGATTATAAATAAAATTTCGATGTGTTCGAATGTTTGAATGATCCGGCCAACTTTGTGCGTTAACGCGCGTTACGGAAAAATACAACAAAATCGGGTACAAAATGGATATACTCCATGCTTGAAATGATATTTACTAATAGCAATATATCTTTCTTAATTATAAAATATACATAGATCTTCATAAATACTGAAAACTCAATATTTCCATAAGGACTGTCTGAAAGCGAACCAGTTATTTCCACAACGCTTTGTTTTGTGCGAAATTAATCTAGAAATAAATTAAATTAAATTTTCAGTATTCCTCACGAATACTTATAATATTATACTTATAATTATGAGTATAATACATGTTAAACAAATTCAAAATTATTACAATTAAATGTTCCAAATTTTTTATTATTTTAATAAATTAATTTAATTTATTTCAAAGCTATTTTAATAGCAGCGACACGTTACGAAAGGAATCCCATGAATTTTATAAATAGCTGATATGTAATATTTTACATTCGCCATTCGAATAGTCGAGTAATTGTACATGAGACTATTTGCGTAATGTTTTACATGTGTAATAATAATGTAATTATTACTTTAGATATATTACGAACTTTCCAAATATGTGGAATTGAACGTTACAATAATAATTAGAACACAATTATAAAATAATTATTAACAACAAGATTGTATCACGTGTTCAAGTTACAATTATGTATGAAAGTCGTGTATGAAAGTAACTCAGTGAAATTACGTGCTAAAAATTCAGATATGACTTAAAATATGATAAATGTTAGTAATCTATGTTTCAAACAGAAATGTAATTTTTTATACGTATATGTGAGAAGGAGAATGAAGTTGTATGTGTGCGTGAAAGCGAGCGTGATAGCGATAAAGAGCGCAAAAAGAAGAAAAGTGACGAAGAAGAAGAAAAGAAAGGAAATGAGAAGGAAGAATGTAAGAAGACATTTTTGGTGCGCTTTGCGACACACTTTAATGTATAGTGATACAATGTACAATATACTACGTACAACGAGAGCCTGCATCGAAAATTACAAACGTGCGAGCGATCAATTTCCTGTTATTTTCTACGTTATTAGTTTATTCCTCATATCAGTATATTTTTAGATTTATATGAAAGTTAAGCAACTTTGTAAATTATATTAAGAAATATGAAATAAAAAAAATATAAAAAACGGTAATAGAGCTGTAACATATTCATTGAGAGAACATTTTGCCAGAATAAAATCACATTAAGAATATTGCAATTAAATTGTAACGGTATTTATACAAAAGATGATTTATATTAATTTATGTATATTAATTAAAAATATTATCAAATATTATTAACTTTTTTAGCTTTAGTAAATTTTATAAGTCATGTTTTTTACGAGGCGTATCCTGCCTGTAAATATTTTTAAAATACAATTTAATAAATTATACAAAAGATGTAAAAACAACTGCAATTATAATGCTAATTTATAATATGCAACGCATATTTCAGTCTGACCTGAACTGAAATATCGACTGAAACATTTAATCTTTTTTTTCTTGAATGCCATATGCTTGAAGAGATGCTTCTAAAGGTATATAGCCGACAGTGGCTAACTTATCTGCCCAGTTACACTCAACAATTTAAATAATAAAATTGTTAAATAAAATTCTCAATACATTTAATTATAAGCAGATTAATACGTATATATTAAAAAAAAAATTAATTTACCCGATATGCAAGTATAGTGTTTACCAACAGCTAGTTTCTTCACGCGTATTTATGGTTTTCTAATACTTTTATCTAGATAGCGCACTAACTCCTATACAGACGTGGGACGGGAAAAAAAATGGTGAAAAGAGCAGAAATGGTCTTGGCGTCTCGAAATTTATGTTAAATTTATAGATAGGTCTAAAGGATTGTAAACTAGGAGACACATAAATATTCATAGTTCCAAGGAAACCGAAGCCTAGGTCGGAAGACACAAACTTTAAGCGTGCCTTTAAGCAACTTAAAGCATATTGACAATGTCCACTATGTTATCTTAATCCTTTGTGAAAGAAAAAAAAACCTTTGTTTGACGGGAACCATCTGTGCACTACAGTTCAAACAGCATGTAACTGAATAAATGAAGATAAGATAATTCCGTGATGACTCTAAACTTCGCTGCATTTCCATTCTTTTTTTTGCAGAAGAAAGCTTGAATATAGTTAAGTAAGTAACATTAACAAAAATGTGTATTGTTTATATTATCTCTAACTGCAGTATATAATTTATTATAACTATATCGCATTCTTTTAATTCTTTCCTAATATTCTTTTCAACCAGGGTAACGTTTATAAAATTTTAATTTGTTTTCAAATATCAGTATGTTATTGTATATAAAAATCATTTTTACTAAATATTAAAAACTATCGCTATTCCAATCGAATTAATTATCCGTCATTAAGCAAAGAATAAAATATTCGGATATTTATATGTCACTTTTGATAAAAATTTATTAAAATACTTTAGATTTAGTATATAAAATATATTTTAACTTTTGCATATCATTTCTTTCAATTCTGTCTTTGAAAATATTTTAAGACTATATATAATTCCGATAAAAACTGTAATGTTATTATTCGTCTATTTATATTGTAAAAAAAATGATGCTCTCTTTATGTTACAGTGGTACATATAGAAATATTTTTTTTGTTAAAAATAAAAAAAATTGTTTTTTACGTGTCGTTGATAGGTTCGTGCAAAAATGCGAGTTTCAAAAACGAGTTTCAAAAACGAATTCTAAATGAACTTCCGTTTTGGCCTGAATATCGGACGAATTACTTGTGAGAAAGTTTGTTTGCACTTAAGCGCGTGTTGTGCCGCTGTCAGCTCGGCTCGTACATTTTACGAGCCGAGTTCCGCCGCTCGCAGACGGCTTTATGGCGGGGGAGGTGAGTAAAAATCGACAAACAATCTATTCCATCCGTACATGTCGGGCGCGGCCCGTCGTTACACGAGATGATAAGTCCTATACGAACACGTCGTCCTCGCCGTCTTTCCACTTCCTCGACCGGCCTCGTTGTCAGTGTCGGTCTCTCTATGACGGCGGCGACTTTCTGTGAAAATTTCGGCGTAACTCAAAAGCTAAGTCAAACATGGGCGTGTTTCACGAGGTGTCTCGGTAAATCCGGTAAAGCCGCGAAGGCAAATTCCTGCGCGAGCGACACACGTCACGCTTTGCTTTACGCACCGAGGCACGCATGTGTGTGTGTACGTATGTATCGCGCAAACTGGATGTGTCAACGGGTACTTAGGCATTTCGCACGTCGAAGATTGGAGATCACTTTGTCGTGATAAAGCTGTAAATGCCGAGTAATAAGAATCTCGCAGAAGCTGTTCTCTTTGAGAGATTAATGTCTTGACGAACTATATTCATTCGATGAAATAGACGTAAGACTTTACGTAATCAATTTGCTGCAATTTGTTAACAACGTTGTTCGCTAATAGAATCTTTTTTTCGTGTGTAATGTTTAGAATATGTAAATGACGACGTGTAACTTTCTTGTACAAATTTTCAATTTTGTGGAACTGTGAGAGTAGAGCTAACAATTTTAATGTTCAGTGTAACTGTTTGTTCGCAATTTTTTTGGTATCATCTGACTATTAAATTGTATAATATAGAATTCATATAGAAGAAGGATTCTTCTTTGCATCACTTTAATCACGACATTCAATGGATACGGTATTATTTGCGGATCGGAAGTAGCATAATTGCGCACGTATAAGACTATACGACGCCGTGGAAGAGGTCAAATTTGCGTCCGGTATTATGGTGGTCGCCGTAACCTTACGTCGCCCGTACATTTGCGGGCGTAGCATTATAACGTGCGTGCACGTTGCATACTTACGTGGCCAGCGGAAGGTGCGGCTTTAGTCCATGATTCTTCTTGGGTTCGTCCTATGCCCATTATGCGAGCGAACTCTTCGTGGTGCCTCTCTGGACCTTAAGATAAAGTCTCGCTCACAGCGACGCCCGTTTGTCACCCGCAGAATTTTACGCGCGTACTGATTTTCCGAATGTTTTGCAAGTACGGATTTACTAAAATTTTATTTTTGTTCACGGGTATACTTTTAGAATAACTCCATTGTCGGAAATAAGTGCGTATCATCACATATTAACTATTTTAAAGCTTAGCAGGAATATATGATTCTTAATAAAAAATATTAAAGAAATTTCAATCAAATTCAAGAAAATGGGATTACATATCTGCTTATATAAACAAATTCATATAAGATATATAAATAATAAAAGAGAAAGAGAAAAATAAAAATAATGAGCATAATGGGCATAGGACGAACCCAAGAAGAATCATAGACTAAAGCCGCACCTTCTGCTGGCCACGTAAGTATGCAACGTGCACATGTAAGATGTACAAATAATAAAAGAAAAAAAGAGAACTATCTAATTATTATAATAGTATCCTATAAATATAATAGTATTGTTATTTCGTTTATTAAAATTTACGGAATTTACTACCATTTATTTGCATTTTATTGACACGTAAATTACAATAATTTAAATAATATTTTTGCAACTTTATCCTTTAATTAAAATCTAGACACTTACAATTAGTCTTAATAGCACGAATGTAGAATATAAGCGCTTGTTTAAATTGATACAAGAGTGTAAAGACCGAATACAGTTTTCTGGCTAGAGATACAAATCGGCGATGTGATACGCGGGATTTGAAATAAACTGCGAAAATATCCAAGTTAATCTTTCGAGTTATAGCGTCAATGGCTTTTCCTCGCGAAAACAAGTGCGCAGATGATAACGTGTAATAAAAGCTGGTAAATCCAGGATTGTGCTAGTAATGTATATTGCCGTCCGTAAACGTAAAATATGAAATCATTGTAGATTCTGCAATTTAATTCGAATTTTTGTAAGTCAAAAATAGAACATTACGAATATATACGAAGAGAAAAAATTCTTAATTTATAATAGAAACTCTCCTTGTATCTCTCTCTCTCTCTCATAAAAATAATCGTTATTGAAATGATTTTGTTACAATGCTGCGAATATCAGATTAAATTTACGTTGCTTTTTCGGATAGATTAAGGAATATTAAAAAGGAACGTTTTAATAGACCATTAAGAAGAATTTTACGGCGTTTTTGCATACCTTCTGCTCATTTAATTTCACTTTGTCAGCAAAGATTCGACGAGCTCGAGATGCTATCCGTCTTTATTGAAACGATTGTAAAGTTGTCGCCGCATCTTGGCTTGTGCTTCTGACGCTATTTCAAAACGCAAAATTCGTACGCTTAGGAAACGGTTGTGAAACGACCATTAAGAGATACGAAACATTGTCGTGTGTGCACACACACCTTTCCATTAGGCACGTCCGCGTATCTACGAGTCGCGACTTCACGCCGACGAAGAACGCGAGTAAAGCTTTGATGTGACCGCCATTACTGAGGGCACACTTATCATCGTATATACAGGCGACAACTTAGAATCCACGACAAATTCTTGTCGATGCTTTATACTTTATAAACACTCTACGAACACACTACACCTATCTTTTTTTTCTGATTCTGATCATAAAAAGAATATTCGTTCGCGTAAGACACTTTCTGATATTTTTCTATTTGATCATACATATATTATTCTTATTTGATTTGCGTACTTTTATTCATGATTCGTTTTTATATGAGATCGATTGGTTCTCGACAACTTTATTGCGTATATTCTTTTTTATATATTGTTACATTATCATGTAAGATTATATCAGAAACCAATTACACCTCTCGAATAAAGATGATCGATCTATACAATTTGCATTGTAATGTTTCTTATTGCAAAATGTAAATTTGCAAATTTTATTTGCAATGTTTCTTATATATTCGACATTGAAAGTGATGTTGGGTGATTGCGTCAGGTTTATCGTAAAATAATCGTAAAATAAGCCACGACATGATTTATATTTTTACTGACATTTGCGTAGGATGCGCGCGCGCGGTAGCGATATCATTTTGTAAAGTCCATTAGAGAAATGGATCGGAAAAGAAGTTTCACCGCTGTCATTTCCGCTCGCGTTCGCACACTTTCAGACCTAAGTGGCGTTCCTCCATTTTTCCGGCCGGGTCCCATTCACGATTTTCTTTTCGGATTACGTTATCTCGGGATCGACGGTTGACGGTTAGTTCTCACGCCGCTGCTTGGACCTCTACCTGCTAATTCGACAAGACCTGTCTCGATCGGTTCTCGTTATCTTTCACGCTGCGTGCGTGCGGCGACGTCGTTTACAGTATCGTGCCCGTGTCCTAATCTATCGGTCGGGGTCCCCCAGGCCGAAACGAGAGGTGATGGTACCCCTCTTCCACCTCCGCCACGGATGTGACAATATTTGTCGCGACCGACGACCGAGGCGAGAGCAATAGGCGCGGACGCGCGTTATTTGCCCTATTCCCTGTGAGATGCCGTCTGTTTGCCGAAGCTTTGTTTCCACCAGTTTCCGTTTCCTGCGCCAACACGGCGGCTCCTCTGATCCATCCGGTCACCGAATACGCACTTTTGGATATCAAGATAACGCAATTTTTTTGGTACACTTTCAACTTCTGATTACGCTACTCAGATATCTGGTCTGTGCGTCTCCGTTTGTTCATATCACTTCTGTAGTATAACGTCAAAGAAACTGGAAGAGCACCGGATTTTTCGGTTCTCGCAAGAAAAATGAACTTTACGTTTTCGGTTTTAATATATGCAATATTAATTATATAATTAGCCAAAAATATAAATAGGTATTTAATTATAATTGTGGTCTCGACTCAGCAAAATAGCGATCATAATTCTTATGTAAGATCGATGGTAATTTTCACGATAGTAATTTTCAAATTAATTTTTAGCATTTATATATATCTATATATGTATACATATTTTTAGATTTTTTTTATAAAAAAAATTATAATATAATATACAATTATAATATTTCATATATTTGTATATTTTATATTTACAATTTTACTATATTTCTGTAATTTTGAATATTTTTTCATGAAATTAATAATGTATTGTTAGTTAAATTCATATTTGTAATAGAGAAATAATTTTAAGAAATGTTTATGCGTTTGAACAGGAATGTGGCGAGATTCGATATTTTTCTTATCAATTGACTTCTGTGAATTTGTTACGAATTGTTACAGGGCTAAACTGAAGTTTCAGTGCATGCAAAAGGAAAAAATAAAATAGCTTCAGAATTGTTTTAATGTGCGTATTCATTTCGCATTAATTATTTAAATTATCTTGTTATTAAAAATGATTGTTTATCATTTCTTTTTTCTCAAATTCCTTGATAATTTGAACGTAGTAAGTGATCGTTTTATTCAATTAGATTTTTTTAATGCACTGTTTCTATAAGATATGAACGGTAATATAGTAGTCTATCACTACGTGACAGTTGTGATAAAGCAAATAACATCAACAGTTGCATCATAAAGTATAAAATCCATCAGTTCTTATATAATATATGAATTAATATATCATCAATAAATAAATAATACGTCATATAAGCATGATCAAATACAATTTGATTAAATCCGGCATTCGCCTGACATTAAACAGAAACATGCAGGAAAATCAGGAATCAATATAATTAGCAACATTGAGTTCAACTCCATCGATGCTTCAATACTATTGCTGCATCATTATTTTATACAACAAAGCAGTTACATACTTTTGACATCAGCAATTTCTACAGCAATCAATATGTATTCCTAACATGCCGTCGTGCATGTCAAAAATACTTAAACATCTCTTAATCTGTCATTTAAATCGGCATTAAGCCAGAGTTCCTATTGTCATTTCGATGCCTCTCCATCTTTGGCGATGCATTTTCGCAGGCTGAATCGGTGGCCACACGGCTCGGCGGTGAAGTCGCCGCATGCCAAGCTCGTCGGCGTCGTCTTTGTTGCCAATCGCTCCCTCGTTTCCTTCCTCTTCATCGTCCTCTTCTTTCTCTCTTCATCGTCGTCAATCCTCTTCGCCGTTCCCGAGGAATTTTTCCACCACTCGATCATCCCGGTGACTCGTGTGAGGGAAGCGATCGTCCCGTCCGCATGGGATTGTCCAATGAAGCGATACCGCAAGATCTCGATGGGCGGCGCCCGGAATCCCGGCGATGGCTCTCCGGCCCGGCGACTTCGTGGTGGGGCCCGGTGGGCCCCGAGCGGGCCGTCTGGTGGAGGGGATTGACATCGACTACTGTGCAGTTCCCACGTGCCCTGGGAACCCCCGCGGCATCGTGTCAGCCCCCGCTCTTTGCTTTTGCACGCTCCTTCCACCTCCACCTTCTCCCACACTATCTGCTTCTCATCGTCAGCGGCAAGCGTCTCTCCTTCTGTCTGCCTGTCTGTCTCGCTTTCTTTTTCTCTATCTCTCTCTTCTCTCTTTCTCTTTCTTCCCGCTTTTGCTTATCTTTTGCTTATCTTTTTCCATGTCTTTCTTCACCTAGCGCGGTAGAAATCAAGAAATCGACGCACCCGTGGATTTTCTCCCGGAGAATCGGTTTATCGCTTCGCTTTTACGCGTAGGTGTCGGGTTTTCCATGGCGATCGCGCGCACTTATATTGTTTATCCACGAAAATATCAACCGCACTGTTCCGAGGACGACCGGCGACGCGTAGCGAATGTAGCGATACTCCTACGCATAGAAGCTAGTAGGTAGGTAAGCAAGTAAGATAGGTGGAACGCGCGCTCGCGCGAGCCGAAGGGAGTCAGTGGCTCTAGCTTTTGGATACGAGCGCTACCTCCGTAGCTTTTACGGCCGGGGTTGGCTACCGCCCCCGCGGGGGGTATCCTTTTGGGAAAGGGCAAAGGCGGAAGGAAGCGGCCCGAGTATGCCGAAGCGGTATTCGAATACTTTAAAAGAATGTAGGGGAGACACCTCGAGATTATACCAGAAAAGGTCTCGGCGTGGGTGAAGAGGGATGCTCTCGTCTCACGGTTATGAGGGCGGGCTCAGACGCGGTGCGGTGGAAGGGATCAGGACCCGTAGAGCATGGAAGAGAGGGAGCAAGTCCGCGGAGACAGTTCAGGAGAGGGGAAGGCGGACGGGTACCAAGCGGGAGCTCAGGAAGCCGCGTCGACGAAGGATTTGTGAATAACCGCGCTGCTATTCGGCGACCGGGTGAGACAAGGACGCACGTAGACTCGGGACAAGGCGTGCTACCACTTCTTCCCTTCTTCGTCGGGCCTCCTCTTCATCATCGTCCTCACCTCTTCTTCTACCAACACCCGCCGTCACCCTCTTCCCTCATTTTCCTTCTTCTGCTCCCGTTCCTCCTCCGCATCCTTCTCACCACCACCACCTCCTCCTCCACCTCCTCCTCCTCCCTCGCCTCCCCAACCGCCTCTTTTCTACCTCTACCACCGCAACGAGGTCGAGGAAGGAACATCCTGGACGTGTACGTTCCCCGTGGAATTGAGGGAGGCTACCTTCACACGATAACTGGTGGGTATCGGTGAGTTGGTTCGGTAGGGAGGTGTCTCCCGGTCCTCCAACCAGAAGAAGCCAAACGACGACGACGACGACGAGGAGACCTTTGGCGGTTACACACGGCGTCCTACCGTCTTCTGGTGTGCCTACCTATTCGGGCTACCAGCGAACCGAGCGACCAAACGAAGCTTCAGTCGACGCCGCGCACCCAAACGGTCCAGACCTGTCAGCCCGGAAGACACACGCGCAGCAATTCAACACTTTCACGAGCCACCGACCTACTGAGTAGTATCGGAGATTCCGACTGTTGGCAGCGTGACATTATACGCGCACCGCAGTTCGTTTTACAACTAATCGCATTTCGCGAGTTTTGTTCTTTCGTTCATCGTCGAAAGTTTAAAACACTTCCGTCGAAGTTCGAAGATTTTCCTCTGCGGAAGATTACTACTGGACATTGCTCGAGGACGAACCCTTATTCGCACTCTTTCTATCTCTATCGGTGAGTCACAGTCAATTGATATCACATCTTAAAAATATTATCTAGCATTACATATAATTTCAATAATACATTATGTTAATATATGATTTATATTTGAGGTGGAAGTAGTTGTTTAATATACGTTTGTAAACGTTTAATACAATAACATTATTAATTCAATAATATTCGAAATAACATTAGGAAAAATTAGTCACATCGTTTATAAATCGGATATTTTCTATAAAACTGTGTTTCTCCTTGTTCTTCTTCTTCTTCCTCAATGTATCTCGGTCTTCTAGAATGTACAGTACCATATTTTAAATATATCAAATGTTTATTGGAGTTTTGTTCTTTTATGAGAAGCAGTACCACGTTTTCATATAGTTTCACTCGTAGTGATTATAATTCTTCAATTTCATTTATTTATTTGTTCTTATCACCGTGCGTTAATATTTATCTGGACAATGTCAATTTTTTTTAATTTATTTGGGATGACAAAACTAAAACCAGGTCTTTCGCGTATCAGAGGGCTGTTCTATTATACCATTAAGCTGTTTCTAAGAATCCTTTCTTTATTTCAATTGAAACCATCGCCATTTCTCATCTAGATTCTGTAGAGAGGATAAAAGCAAAGTTATTCCTACTGCACCTCCAAGTTCTTACATTTTCTATTGTATGCCTCCACGTGTTATGAATCAAACGGGCGGGAATAGGCGTGATCTACATTCGTTCGCGTATCTCGAGTCCTCGCCGCCAGAAATCGGTAGCAAGCGGTAGGGCGGTGCACAGTAGCCGCTGCGTTTTGATTGGTGCTCAAGTACCTTGCGGGTTGTCTGCGGCGATTTTACGATGGTCCTCTTCAATCCTTCTAGCATTTAGATCTTCCTGATAACTTGCGTTCCCAAATAGCAATGGTGATTTTTATGTACATATGGAAAACACACAGTTTTATATTTTATATCGTGAATAATTTTTTAGAATTCAATGGTTATAATGCATGCACTGAGAGATTGTTAATTTTATTGTGATATTCGAGTAGTTAATATAATATTTATATAGATATAATAAAGAAAAGAATGTAGGAAACGAAATTGAATTAAAAAACAAATAAAAACTGTTTTATTTTGAAAATTTGCTCACTGACACGACTTTCATCATGTTAATCAACATCTAATTAGAAAGCAATTATCTTATGTCTATATTTCCTTATAAACGTTAAAATTCTTGTTTTAATAATTTTTTTTTTCGGTTTTATTGCGCAAAATATCGCGCTGCGACATGCGTCTATTCAAATCACAAGGATCCGCCAGAATCATCCGAACGAACGAAAACGGATCCATCACGGAGCTACCATTTTTCTTCGGCGCCGCGCGTGGCGCGAGTCCGCGCGATAGGTAATATCTCTCGTAAGAAACGCCCTTGCGTGATCGTCCGCGTTCCCCGCGCCACGGTGGTATCGCGGTTCGACGTCTCGACGGCGGAGGGAGGGTGTGGTCCCACTTGGTGGACTTCTCCGGCTGTTCGGTAGCGACTGGCCGAAAACCGGTAGTCGGCGGTAGGGCGGTGCACAGTAGCGACTCTTCTTTGGTTGGCTACCGGCCTTCTCGCTGTGGCGAGCGAACGAACGAGGGCTACCGCTCCTTCCTTTATTCCTCCATACACGCGAGAACGAGTGCACGCACATCGAGCCGGGCTCGCTTGGTTGGCCGTTCTCTGTTCTTCTTCGATTGGCTGCCGGCTTCTTGTACCACGCACTCCGCCCTTCGTATCGCGCGATAGAACGGAAGGTACTCGCGACTACCTTTTTTTCAGGGTCTCGGTAGTGTTGAATGAAATCAAATATCACCCTGTCGAGCGTTGAACGTCTCGCCTAGGTATCCTTATGAATGTTCTCCTCGTCAGGATAACTCTCAAATGCAACGAATGCCTTTTGCCTATTTTTCTCATGGGCAAATCAGCAACACGGCGAAATTTATCTTGGATTAGGTATTCGATAAACTCAATTACAATTCTTGCAAATTTTCAATATCTGAAGATATATTGGACGACGTATTATTAATGATTATATGTATTTATAACACTAAATCCATTTTGACGTGTTTATTTTTCTCGATTTTGCTCTTTGATAGTTAAAAAAAAAAAAAAACTATTCTTCTGCTTATTCGTGTCAATCACGTCAGAATACAGTGATTTTCCTTTTGCGTGAAGTCATAAATAGCATGATTATTTTTACACGTTATAAAAGTTATATTACATCGATATCTATTTTAATTGCTTATTTGATCACGCGCGATTCTATTATTCACGTCAAGAGAGAAGCCCCACTTGATTATTCCGCGCGACGTTCCCTCCTCTGCGTGGTTCACAACAAAATTCACTTTCGCGTAGCTCCGTACATACCAAAACGCTTCGCCGCCTATTCGCAAATCTCCGTCTAGTATGGCGCATCCATAAACGCGAGCGTTTATATATATCGCATTATCATACATTATCATACATTATCATACATTAAACGAAAGCATTCGATCACGCGAACTCGGTAGGCAAACATGGTAGCAGGCACGATGTTCGCTTTTCTACACACGCGATACACACGAGCAACGTTGACTCGCGCTCGTATTCGTCGCTTCGCAATCGCCGTAAATCTTACGTATCTCGTTACATTCGCGATCATATCTTTCACTTTACGGATGCGCCTTTATTCCGGACAGTATTATCGAGACGAAATTATCGACAGCTTACGTCTGTTATTCCTGACTGCTATTTTGATCGCGCGGTCGAATTCAGCGGACTTAGCGGTTATCAGAGAACATGCACGATCATTTATCATCGGCCTCAAGATTATTTGCACGTCCTCACCGACATCATCTGTAATATAAAACCTGAGCGTTTACACGGTTAATGTCGTTTTCCTCGACACCCGACTCATTAACGCACAACTCATTAACTTCGCTTCACGCAAAGTGAGAACCTGTTCCAGCCGCATGTACCCGGTCTCGGGTAATACAAGCGTACTGTGACCTCGTAACTCTTCGACAAGATTGCCGTGTAGTAGCTGGTGTTACCGTTCATTTCCACGGGCGTATATCAATACCGCGCGACAGGAGTAGCCTGTGCCGATTTGCTATTCGAAAGTGAAATGACTAAATTTCAAAGAGAAGACAGGCACTAAAGGTAGGTCTGTTTCTTCTAAACCCTCAGGAGACAAAATATTATTTCACACGATTTCTATTTTAGTAAGCTGTGTAGATATATGATTCGTGCCGTGCAAAATTACAAAAGATATTGTGAGTTTTTGCTCGTCTCTTTATCGATGGTTTTCCGGTCCTTAGGGATAAGAAAAGGTCCAATTTATACAAAACCATAAAACCGGACGTGCCGCCGAACATTTGTCCTTCCATCTGTTTGAATACCGGAATGACGAAGGTATTCCGTCTCGACGACAGCTATGTACTGTTTCCACAACACATTTATATTTTTTCTACGTTTGTTTTTACGTGCATCAGCATGTCGGACGGATATTTACAATGTCTGAATCAGTCGGACGGCGACGGGACCAGACATGGCCAGACAGAAACGTGATGTTTCACCAGGGAAAGAAGTGGAATTGTACTTTTTTTTTGTGAAACGCAAAATCGCGCGTAATGCGCAGTTCCGATTAGGCTCCACCGCCTGTCAGCCACGCTAACCAACCGGGCTACGCCCAGGCACCGCTTATTACTCATTCGGACACGCCACTTTATTCGAGCGTGCGCCGTGCGCTTAATGCGAGCCGGTAGCGACTGGCCGACGCTTCTGTACAATGGCCGCACCGTGCGATTCGATCCCGCGGGCTATTTTTTAACATGCCGATTCCAATTCAAGAACCGTGCCATTAGACCGTGGCGGTACGATTCCAATCGCTCATTCATATCCGGCCGAGTATATTGCGGGGGAGTTTTAAAAGTAATACTTGCACGAGGGTATAATTTGGGTACATCGTACGTATATAAAAAAAAAAGGATTCATGTTTCTCTTTCGTAGTTTTATCGTGGAGGAACTGTCTTCTCTTGAAATATGGATAGAAGCGGAAATATTAAGCAGTAAAAATACTAATTTTTAACGCACGAAAATGTGACTTCAGTGGAATTCGATTACATCAGACCTCTCACATTATTTCCGAATTATTTAAGAGACATCTCAAGGCAACCGTGTCAGAGATTATGAACGGTTCAGTCAATGTAAGATGTAAGAAAGTTGCTCCAAAAATAAACTTTGAATGATTTTTAGCGCAATAATTTTAAACAATTTTCATACAGTAAAAAAAAACATTAAATATAAGAATGGTATGAAAAAGAATAATATATGCAAACAGTATTGCCCGGATTACAGTCCTTTTCGTACTAATAATTGTCATGTAAATAATATTTCACTTAAATTTTATTAAAAAACTTGAAAGTTAGCCCGTATCAGTCGCATGAAAGTTAATCGGTGATTCGTTGCTCTCACGTTTCTTTTTAGAACAGCATCGCAAGCTCGGGAAATATTCTCGTGATTTGCGTGGCGCCGGATGGCGAGCGTAAAGATTACGGATCGTATTTGCGGCGCGCATTTAGCGCTAATAGTGGCTGCTTCTGCCCCCTCGATTACCACGAATGTATACAGCATCCCATATGAATGAAATTTAAAACTGGACAGTCGCGTTTGAAATTAAATATGCCCGGAGGACGTGTCCGGAGCTGATGATTTAAACTCGCGAATCGAGCAGACGCGCCCAATTAGGAAACTAGTCATTAATTTTTTTTCGGAAGCGCACAGCTTTTTATAGGCATTCACACCGTGTTTTTTGTACGGTAATACCGAAGGAATTAATTTAATAATAGAATTACTTGAAATAATTATAAGATTTAGAATGGTATATTATTCCTGATAGATTTTATGAAAAAAACCTTTGCTTATTCTTTAACATTCATTCTTAAATCTATTTAGAAATAAGAATCGTAAAATTTCTTACAACTTTATGCAGATGTAACTTTACACGATTATAACAATGTTATAACAATGAAATTGTGTAAAAAGTATCATATAATACAAATTCATAAAGTGAAGCAAAATTAAACAGAAGTTACATTTAACCTTAACATTTGTATAAAATATTTTGTATAAAAATTCCATGAGTTTTTAATTTTATTTATTGAAGCATCGATTTAATCGCTCTTTTTTATTTGCTGTTTCTTGTAGATATAGACTTTAATGTTGCGATAATGTTATAACGTTATAATATTAAATGGAGAATGCAATTGTATATCGCTGATCTGCAAAAGTAAAATTACAAAACAAAACTTGCTTGTGATATTTCTGTAACATTTTACACATTTTCTATTTTTATATATGTATAAAAACGGGAATAACGTATTATTTTTCGCTGTACATATAAAAAAATTTATCATGTTTTGAATCAATATATTAATAACTTGAAATAGACTTTTCTCGCAGAAATTGTAGCCAGCTTGTCTCAGAGTTACCCTTTATATTATAATACATAGGAAAAGTACTTCCCTATGCCATCCTAAAAGCATACTCCTGATAAAATATCGCAAAAATAATTCGATCGGAGAGAATTTCTATTCCGCGAGGCACATTGGCATGCGCGCGTCCCTCCTACGCATCTTCGTAAGGAATGCAAAATACTTCAGAAGTTGCTTCAACGTTACTAACCCGTTGCTCGTAGGCAACGGCGCTTCGCGTAAATATCTCGTCGGATACGGGCGTCCCGCGCGTATACTCCGCTCTCGCGACTCCGGGTGATTTCCTCGAGCGCGCGAGTCAGATCGGAGGAGAATCATCGATTCTGTGCTCTTTGCAGGCAGCGATACGAGGATTCTCTCGCGACGTGGTACAAGCAGTGATCTCACTCCCAGGAGTCAGCCGTGCCCGAGACTAGCTTTGCGCGGGAGGAGAAGAGCGAGTCGAAGAACGACAGTCAAGAAAGACAGATAAAGAGAGAAAGAGAGAGAGAGCGTACGAAAGTCTGCGAGCGAGGCAGAGAAAGATAAAGAGAAAGAAAGAGAGAGAGAGAACGCGCAAGCAACAGAGAGGATTGAGAAAGGAGATAGAGGGAGACAGACGAAGTGGTGGGAGTGACTCCGGGCGTTAGCGAGAGAGCGAGAGAGGCGGGTAGAGGGAAAGGAGAGATAGAGACTCGACCAAGAGAAGGAGCGGTGGGAATTTATAAGGATGTTCGCGATAATGCCGATGGAGACAGAGGGGCACGGCAGGGAGTTCGGCCGGCGGCAGAAGATGCGCGCCAAGTGCACGGTAGAGTTCGTCTGCAAGTACTGCCAGCGGCGCTTCACGAAGCCCTACAACCTCATGATCCACGAGCGCAGCCATAAGGACGACGTGACCTTCACCTGCGAGGTCTGCGGAAAGTCCTTCAAGCGGCAGGACAATCTCAAGCAACACAGGTACACCCGCCACGTTTTTACCATTTTTTTTTACTTTATTTCGTCGACCATTTTTGTTTCGTTTTGTATTTCCCTTCGAGGACTTCTATTTTTCGCGCGCTCGCACGGGACACGTACGCGATCTGATCCATGATCAATCGCCGCGATCTCCGAGTACTCTTTAGGGGGTCCCTTACAAGGGTCCGTATACGAGTATGGCGTCGCGCATATGAAAGAGAAGCCCGCGACACACGTTCCTGACGTTGTAGATATTGGCAAAATGTTCCTGCGGAATATCGCGGCAACCGATCGTGAATCAGACGTCAGTGCGTGACTCTCACTTGCAAGAACCTGCGTTCGAAAAGCAATAGAGATTCGAAGCTATCGGGAGACGTTTTCGTGCTCGTGCTCGTGCCTGCGCGTCCTCGCTGTTCGCCGCACGACGAGGCGGGATGATGGGGAATGATTAGTTCTCAGTCGGCAATCAGCTCGAGAAGTCGAGCTAAATTGACATTAACTGTTGTTAGATTGCGTCATCGGCTATCGTAGAATTTTTCCTACTGCGATTATTTCGCTTTTTTCATGTACCGTGGACAATAGGGACGAAAATTGTGATTCTATTGAGCTGTAACGCATAATCATTTTGATACCGAACAGTAAAAAGTAACTTGAAGTATTTATTGTGCATATTAGAGATTATTATTTATATTATTCATCTTCATGTAATAAGCACAAAGATTAAAGCTATTTAATCGCGCGTAAAGCTTTAAGTTAAGATTAGATCGGGACAAACGCCAGGGAAACCGGTCGATTTACCTTTCGCAAAGTCAATATTTTGTTTTGCAATTCGCGATTTAACAAATCTTCGGTCAGATAAACAGCTCATTGTTTGACGCAAAATCGCGAGACGCGAAACACGAGTCGTCGATTAGCTTTACATAATAAAATAAAGATACGGCATTCATATGAGGGTGAGTCGAAGATTAATCATGAAAACGTCTCACGATAGTTCTTCTTGTAACCATTGATTAACGACGCTCGCGCAAACCGTTCCATGCGTAAGAGATTTGTCGTTCTGAAATGAATATATAATCAATGTGTCGTATGAAGAAAACAATATACAAATATCAATCGCTTGGCCACACCCATATCAAGTTTACAATTTTAAATTGTATTTTTGTGTGATCCCCGAATTGTTCGATTTGTGAATCAAAAGATGTATTGTTTTTGTTATATGAGGCTGTCAACGCAATGTCAACAAGCGAAGAAAAAGATATATCGGTTTAAAGGTATGGCGGATCACGAGAAAAGGATGCAATGAGAAAGGTTTACATGAGTCATTTTTATGCATATAAAACTAGTTTAAGTGCGTCAAAGAAAGGATGACATCATGTTACAGCAGAGAAAGGATTGCATCGCTTTGAGAGCGACATGATAAATTGTAATTAATTGTGTTTTTTATGATAAATAACAATTAATTTATTATTATATTATTTAAATAATAAGTTCCACGAATTCTGGCTAAGATGTCAGATCAATATGGAACTTTGCGAATTTCAAATGTGCAATTACTCGTGCTATTTTAAGGTTTTCTTCCCATTTCGGTCAAAATACATCCGGTAAATCGACAGGAAAGTTAAGACGCGCTAACTATCGCTTAAGCGGTCACGGTGCTGACCTCGAGAAGGTCAAAACCATTGGTTCGGCCGAAGGAGGCCGCTACCGCGTTGACCTTTTGCATCAATAGCCTTGTAATGTTGCAACGTGTCGCCTTCACCCGCCTCACGGCGGAATAGAGGCGCGAATAGGGAGAGAGAAGAGATCCGCGAAGATCCGCGAACTTTGCACTCCTTCTCTCGCCTACGGGCGCGCGTCGACGAGTCGGCGAGTCCGCGGCGTGCGCGCGCGCGCGCACGCGGGCTCGTAGAATCGGCCTGACCCATAAATCAGTCTGAAATAATGCTGCCCCCGCATGGAACGTGTGCGCGAGCGCGTTTGAACGAGCGAGCGATAAAATAAATCTTCAATACTGGTGGATACTAATGGATACCTTGTATGTAACGGCGGTGGTCTTGTTTTCTGTTCTGTTGTAGATGTGGGTGGCGGTGAGCGGGAGCTCTGAACCTCCTGCACCTTGACACACGCACACACACACACACACGCACACACACACATACACACACTGATTAATAACACAAACAACGATAACAACGACAACAGAAACAATAACACAAATACAACAGAGAGTATGACAACAATAACCCAACAAATTACAACCATGCACTTTTTATTTGATCACCCGCACTTTTTCCTGGTCGCGGTGAAAGCGCGATCAACAACTATGCCACTACCGCCACCACAGAAAACCCCAGCATGCGTATACTACTTTTTCTTCTTCTTCTTCTTCGTCTTCCTCATCTTCTTCTTCTTCTCTGTCTGCCTCTTTCGCTATTTCGTCTTCTCACTGTGTCTACGACTTTTACTACCCTCACTACTTCTTCATCGTCGGCTATTTCTTATACTAACACACGGCGCGTACGGGTCCCACGCTTTAACGAGGCGGCGGGAATGATTGATAGATAGAAAGGAAATGTAAAGAATGTGAGTGGGAAGGAAGCGAGGGGTTTTCCCTAGAAGTGTACTTTCCTCATCTTCCGATTTCGACCATCTCTGTTCCAGGAGCATACACTCTGTTCCCTACAAGGGCTCCAACGGCTACTCAAATGGCTATTCGAATGGCTACTCTAGGTATTAGAAGCCATCCGGCCAACTACTATCCTAAACTCCCGTAGACACGCGTTTCTCTTTCTCTATCGAATGCTCTAGCTACCGACCAGTTCTTCCTCGATGTTCCTCCTCTATTAGAGCAATCCTTCCAGTCGATCCAACGACGATGCATCAAAACTTGCGAGATGTCGGGTTTGCGTACGGCAAAGAAACCGCGATACTCCGTCGATTTTTGTCATCAACCCTTGCCTATCATCCTCGCATCTAGTTCGTCCGTCCTGCTTCTTTGAGTTTTTTTTCGCTTCTGTTCACCCTCCTGTATTCCGAGCCTACACCCAGACGTCAGCCACATCAGAGGAATCTTCGATCCGACCCGACACGAAGCACCATTGCAGAGCCGAGAACGATGGAAGCAATCTGGGATACAGCGACGCGGCAGACAATTGTAATTTCACCGAACTTTTTTTATAATTCGCCTGATCCGAATGGGTAATGATATTCTTGCTAAGTACGTACCGAGCGATTGACGATGTCCGAAGCGTTTACGGAATTGCCGTTAAAGATATAATTCGATAAATAATATCAAATTTTATGCATAATTCGAGAACTTCCGCACCTCTAATGAATGTACAACAGTCAGCGTTCTGTAAGATACACGAATATGATACAGGAAGATAGATGCGACTACGGAATGTAACAAAATAATTTATTTATCAGATTAGAAGAATAATGTAAAACTCTTTCTATCGACGTGCTCTGATTTAAACGTTCACTATCTCCTATTAAAGATGTTCTAATCATCTCGATAAGAATTTATCCACGAACGTTTCATGGTAGATGATGAAATTGTCGACAATGCCGAACCGCGTTAGCTCTTCTTGTTACGCGCAATACCAATATATTTCGATCAATAGACAAACGACGAAACTTCAAGAATAAGAAGAAAAGAAAATGATGTTTGCATCGGATATCTATCGCGTAATTATAGAGAAACGAACCGGAAATTCAGCCAGGAATCAAAACGGACGATCCACGTTCTTCCGCATTTTCATAACGGAAGCTACCACGACGCAGTTCCTCGCAGGGTCCCCGGGCTAACGTCCTAAATTGGACTACGTAATAACCCACTAGCTCTATAAGAGCGCCGGTCGGAGGATACGCTGTTCGCTTCTTCGCGTGCTACCGTGGACCACGCCCAGGCCCGGAGCGACGTCTTCCTGACCTACCACCTGGCAATCAGGCCGCGGAGCTACTCGGCTTCCCCTTCAGAAAATCCATATAATCTCGCGACGGCGATACGACGGCGAGTCGCATTCGGGATTGGCATTCGCCGAAGCAAAATCGTATCTCGCGAGCGTGCGCGATTGTTGCATGTGAAGACACGACCGGACAACCTTGGAGGGCCACGTGGTACAAGGTGGGTCCGCGGTGGTATCGCTGACGCAAATACCAGTCAGCTGAGATCGGTTTCCAGCGGGTGAACCCTTGGCGACGTGTCTCTTCGATTCCGGCCGAGACGCCACCCATTGAGGTGGAATGAGGATCAACCGTTATTATTTCCGAGCGTCGATCGTATCTTTCTTTCTCTTCCCTTTTTTCTGTATTATTTAGTTTCTCTTTTCCTTTATTCATACCCGTGTCCGTGCAGATGGGTATAAGATGCTCGAAACATGGACGGAGGGAGGAGATCGCGTATGATGGAGCAATCGGCACCACACAATATATGCTCGAAGTAGGCAGACGTAAAGCGGCGTAGATAGTGATGCTGATTCCCGCTTGCTTCTCGAGCAAAATGCTAAATTCGAGAAGCGAGTGGGAAAACGCGTGTGGCGAGCATAAATATAATCGTCGCGTTCGAAATCGTTCAACTCAGATGCAAACTGCAGAAACCTTCAGTTTTCGTAGAGGAGTCGGTAGGAATATACATATGTAATTAGAGAGATTTTGAAGATATATAAAATTAATTGATAACAATTTTGTTTACCAATTACGTCCTGATTGTAAACGTAATTAAACATGTTAACGTTTTAAATTTTTCAACGAAATAAATGTGCAAAATCATTACATATATCATAGATTTTTATATATTTTTGGAAAAAGTCATAATTATGTTTTTTATTTGTCACCTATATTTATTTCCATCTTATATATGTTATATTCCTATCGCTCCTCTTCTAACATTTATGTTATACTTGATGTTATCGATATATCTAGATATACTGCGCAAAAAGATATCACCCAAATTATCACATAATCAGAATAATGAGTTCTTGCTCTTCCTATTCTAACCACTTCGACTCGAGTATCACTCGAGTCCATCGTGATAAATTGTAAAGAATGTATTTTTTGTATTAAATTTAATATATTTCGCGGTATGCTTTTCAAACTGTACATTAAAAGGAGAGAAAGTGTTCGGACTTGTACGTTAATGAGGGTTAAGGAATTGGCGTGACTGGTTCTAACGTGTCTTTATGACGACACCGTTAAATATCTTTTCGCTTTAACACGAGGGAAAAACCACAAAACGTTCTTAAATGTTAGTACAATATAATGTGTGTTTTTGCTACGGCGTCTCGAAGAATATCGAGAGTTGCTATTTAGCTAATTTGCACAAGTTTATATGAAAAATTCATATAAAAAAAAAGGAACCACGATGGCTTCGGGAGCAAACAGGATTTTTTCTTTCTTTCTAACTTTTGATTCCTCTTTAGTGGAATGAAACCGCGGTCGTACTTTGTACATAGCTTAAATACGTATCAGTGCGTCTTTAATATTATTATATTAATTATTATTATTGATTATTATTATTAATTATTATTTTATGGATGTTATCGAAATAGCGCTTAGTCATTCTGTAATTGTAGCCGCCGACAGGCCTCACGAGTGTAGAGCTGCATTTCGTTGTACGGTATCATAGGAGTGATAATAATGTTATTTTATTATTATTAAAATTATTATTATATTATATTATATATTATTACCATGATGTATCAATATCCATGCATGTATCGCTAGCTTTACACCACCGAGGCACACGGTCAGCCTGGTAGAAAGGTTCATGTTCTTTGTCTCTACAAGAGAGATGAGACAACATGCGCGTGATGATTCCATGTATGCTTTCCGCAAAACGTATTGTATTAGTGTGTGTGGGAAAATTCCACTTCAACGGACTACAAATAAATTTACCAAGTTGTAAAATGCTATTTCATCCATTTTTTATATAAATCCCCTTTGTTAAAATATAAATGTTCCATGATTTTAAAATCCTTCCTATAAATTTTTCAATTATCATATCACAGAACTAATAATTAAAAAAAATTTTCTAATATTCATTTAAATTACCTTCGAATTTAGTAGTATTCTATTTAGTAGCAAGAGTATTCTACAGTAAGTTTAATTAATTAATCGCAATGGATTCTAATTTTATTTCAAGGCATTGCAGTATTTTTTTAGTACAACAGCGCAGTGTAATATAGAACAACTATTTTACAAATCGCGTGTGCCTTACAATTAATCTGCATCTGGTTGAGACGTGTTACAAGATGACTCAATCGTACAAATTATCGGGATAATTTATTCCTGAAAATCGGTTGGATTCGTCGTCACGCAAATCATAGCCGGTTAAACGACGGCCGGCAGCTAGGCGAAGAAGAAGAGTAGCAGTCTTGATCAAGACAGATCTCCCGCAGGCGTGAAATAGCAGGCCGTATGAAATCATCCTTCTTGTCACAATAAGTTAACCGATGATTGGCAGTATATCGTGTTCCAATTGTATAAAAATACAACAAGTATATTAAAAAAAAGTGAAAAATATATCAATATAAAGATAAACGAATAAATTAATTATAGAGACAGCGCGTTTATTCTTTTCTTTTTTCAATAAAATTGATCTCTTCTTGATTTTGCATTAAACATGCTGCATTAGTCAACGATATCAAAGCTATTGTTTGGCGTGTTTTGACGTCTCATGCGCAATTCTTCCATCGTGCACTTTGTGCATTGTGCAACAAACTTAAAGAGTTCGAAGTTGTATTCCATGAGCGAATAAGATTGCACGCGGTGCATCCTGTTCACTTTATGTTGTGGCTGGAAGCTGCTCTCACCTCCTGGGGCAAAAGTCGTGAGCTGAATGTCATGGTGATTGAATACGACCCACTGATGTGCTTCCCGAGATGTACAGATTATGCGCTATTGGTTTTCCGCAGTCTTCTCGGTGCTCCGTAATTTTCGTCCCTAATTGCTTTAGCCATCAATATTATAACAATATCTAACGGTTTATTAATAAATAAATGTTCGCTTATAATAAATTTGTGCACGAATCTATAACAAAGAAACATTTCCAAACATTATGTTTAACGTTTCTTTTACAAACGACTTTATCAATATAAATCGCGAAAAGCATCTATAGTAGATAAGATAAGACAAGAATTATAGAACTCTAATATAATCTTTATTTAATTGAAGAAATATTGCATAAAAATTAATAATATCCAGGAAATGAAACTTATTGTTTGATGCATCTTCGTTATCATTTTGTTGAATTTTATTACCATAAAATTTCTCTACTCTGTAAGGCAGAACTACCTTTGTGTAGTTTCCTCAATAACATTTCAAGAAATTCATTCGCACCCGCGTTTTCGATCGCGGTTTATTACCGTCTCTGCGAACTCACAACCGGGCATGCAACTGATAAAGTCGCTTAGCGTACGAACGCGTTTCTACACGCTCGGTTATGGGCGTGTGCGGAGTGTTAAGCTAGCGGGCAGAAGCTTCCCATGAAACTCTCACCTCCGCGGGCGGAAAGTGAACTTCGCGGCCGACGACGTTCAGCAGTCATGCAGCCGCGACCGCCGCCGCCGCCGCCGCCGCCGTCGCTGTCGTGGCCGCGATCCTTTTTTGGGTGAAAGGTTGGCGAAAAATGCCTGACGGCAGCTACCGCGGTAGCTCCAATGCCACGGTTCGCTTTCACTCCGGAAGAGATAAAATTTTTTTTCGTAATACTTTTGGATTTTAACGGTAACGAAATCATTACCGATAATACAAACATATATTATGTAAATCTGAGACTAGGTTTCTGTACATAGCTTCATACAGTTTTATAGATCTCGATTTGTCAGCGCGTTTTCTAATTTTTATCTTTTACTAAAAGTATTGTATTGCTGTTCGAAAGCGATAGTATCGTGATACAAAAAAGAAATGTAAAGAAAGAAGAAAGAATGTGGCAGTTGAAACGTGCCCGTTATTGTGCGATTGCGTATTACTAACAATAATTGCGTAATGGTAATTATACAGGAAGAGACAATATCAATCTCATATATATAAATGCCACTCCTTTCAAGGATCTCTTTGTTGCATCCAATCATTGGCGAACATGAGTCTAGATCCGAGCTCCTTTTCGCGAAAGGATCAACGGGGATCAATAAAGCAAGCTTGGCGCGCAGTTAATCGATGAAAGCAATGAGACGAGGTCATAGATGAATATAGATACACGTAATGACGTTTACGTTATAAAATATTATTAAGCATATAGAATCGAATTGAGAAAAGGCGATATGCGAGAAGATAATCAAAGACGGTTACGTGTGAAAGTGAGTGCGATTGTATAGTAGCAAAAGGTGAGTGCCTAAAGGTTAAGAAGGTTACTATCGCTAAATCATCATTTTAAAGCGAATACAGCGCGATAAATGAGATTTTAACTGCAATGTTGCGTGAAGCCAAATGTGCGTGTTACAATAAAAATATACAAAAACGTCTGATAAAACAAACAGAAAAGATAAATAAAAGGCATTGTAATCAATTCATCTTCATTCTATTCAAAACTATTGGAACGCATGCTAAAAAAAATAAACAGTGATAAATCGTCTGTCTCTAAATAGAGAACAAGACTTGCTTACTTTAAAAACGGGTGCATTCCGTTTCATGATGCGCATAATGCATCATGCATGAAACGGAATGCACCTAACATGTTACAATTAATTAAAATCTTCCATTAACCCTCAATTAGCACACCTTGGTTGGGCCACCTCAAATGCCACACTAGTGCGATTTGAGATTTTGACAACTTTTAACTGTCGTATCTCAGTCATTTTTAATAAAAATTTATGTAAAATTTTCCTGGCAATTGAGTAGTGCACTTTATTTTACAAAAAAGAAATGATTTTTATATGAAAAATTGAAATATATAAAGTGCTGAACGCGAAAAAAAAGTGGTGCGAATTAGCACATGTGTGCTAATTGAGGGTCAAAATGGCAAAATTTTAAAGATTAAGATTTCTCTGTCTCACGCACAAACACACGCAGCCTTCAAAGGTTAAATACCTTTATTTTAACTGAAAATAATGCAGGCTTGAAGGGACGAAAGTTCTCATTACTATAAAAAAAACAAGCTCCGCAGAAATCGGATTGTATTTCACAGAGCAAAATGCGCGACTGCGCCTGAATGAAAGAAACTGGCTAGTGAAGGCGAGATAAAAAGAAGAGGGAAAAGGCGGGTAGGCGTAAGTGCACGGGGATATCGTTGCGAGTAGTATATCGGAGGACGGAGCACCTAAAGGTTACTACCGCATCATCGCTACGTCAAACTACTAGCTAGATTAGTCCCCCTTGGGCGAGCACGAGATGTGTTTTGCTCGACTAGGACTCCGTCTCTGTCAGACTCGCTCTCGTACACGTTTCGCGACGTGGTAAGCGTCCACATTGCTAGGTGGTAGGTTGGTAGGTAGGTAGGTCGGTTGGTCGCTCGGTAGGTATATTAAACGATCCAGTCCCCCGTGCCCTCCTCCTTCTCGTGCCCGATCGCACTCTCTTCTTCTCTTTCTCTCTCCTCCGCTTTCCCCATTCCTCTTTCTCTCTCTTTCTCATTCTGCTAGGTGCTCTCCGCTTGCGCGGCTTCTAAGATCTGTGGGAGCGCCTTTCACCTAATTGTTGGCACAATATGTGAAGACGAAGCCACCACGGTTCCCATCGACTCCTGGAGATGATACTCCGACTCGTGGCGCCTAGACACAGACACTATCCGGACTCGAGAGGTCGACCGGGATCGTCTGCGACCGGAGGGGATTGGGCGATACTACAAGTAGGTAGGATGATAGCGCGTAAGAGGTCACCTCGAAGAGAACACTGCGAAACGTACGGCTCGGTGATATGTATGGTCTTGTCAACGATTTCCGTCTTGTTCGCGATGTAAATGTCATTCGTATTTGTTATCATATATAATAGTATTTGATACATACAATAATATGTTATATGTTTTAATCTTTTTATACGCACGTTAAAAGTAGTTCTTTTTTTTTTCAGGAAAAGTTAAAATAAATAAGTAACAATAAAACGAAGGCGTGCTATATTTTGTGTAATGTTTATAAGTTACAAGATCTTGATACGCGTATTTATTAAGAAGCGAGATTGCGTAGAAAAACATACACATGTTTCCGATACACACATATTTGTTTCAAATATTGTTTCTATATATTCTTTCCGTACCTTCAGTACAGAAAACTTGGAAATACCAGAATTGAAATTTTCGCCTAGTATGGTAATATAACATTTGCTGCAAAATTCAATTAAAATTCGAAAAAGTTCTATATCAAATTATACAAATAAACTCCCGAATAAATCATCCCATATCAAATTATACAAACAATAAGAAAACCATCGATTTAACAATATTTAATAAGACTATCATTTTATGAAACATTGTTGCTCCGAATTTCTCGAGCGATTGCCCGCCAGAGGCTTTTATTCCAGATCGGGCCCTAAACAAACGCGGGCAGAAATGACATTGTTCTCACGCGACACAGTTCATGGTAATCGAGCCAAGTGATTTCAAACGCGGAAACAATGCTTCTCCGACGCTGCCCACGGAGGAAGAGCCGCGACGAAGCCGGCGGCATCGGCGCGTCCGCCATGAAAACGACGAGTCTCTTCTGTTGTCCCCCTTCGGCGATTTGCTACGATCTATAAATTACGAGCAAGAACCACCTCTCTTTCTCTCTATCCTTCTCCCTCTCTCTCTTTCTCTCTCTCACTCTCTCTGTCTCTATGACTCTATTTCTATCTTTCCTTCTATCTCTATCTCCGCCGACGCGAGTGAGGTCCCGTTGTGACTCACCGGTGACCGGCGCTCGCGCGCGACGTCGCGCCGGAACGAGCGTGCAACGGAAGAAAAGAGGTTGCACTGCTGCCGTTGCTGCTGCTGATGCTGCTG